AGCAATTAGGGGCTCCTGGCATCGCTACTAGGAGCAAGGACGCTACTTGGGGCTCCTGGCCTTACTACTAGGAGCAAAAAGCAATTAGGGGCTCCTGTCATCGCTACTAGGGGCAAGGACGCTACTAGGGGCTCCTGGCCTTACTACTAGGAGCAAGAAGCTATTGTAAGTTTCGTTTCGTTTGTGCGCGCCTCACATGACTTGACCTTGTGAGGCGAATTTGTGGACGCTTTGGTGGAGTATGCGCTGAATGATGCCGGGACGTATGCCCTTGGGACGGGAGTTGTGATTTTTGGTGTTCCGTGTCGGGGTTGCGGAAGATTGTGCTTCGATAATCCGGAGCGATTTAAGAGAGGACCGTGCTTGGCATATTGAAAACTTTACAGCTGCTTCCTTGAAGATTCCAGCGTCATGGCCAGAGCAAGTGAGGCACTTAATTGCTACGTGTTCTACAACTGCAATGGAGAGCAGGCCATGCTTACAAAAAATTGTACATTCGTCATGCACAACCCCCAAAAAAGAATCACATTGCGCGGCCTATGGAAGGTTTTAATTCTTCTAGTTGCTATCACATTTCGTGGCTTGAATGACTTCGCCCTTGGTGGATTGGACGCTGGAGCTGGCAGGCCCAGTTAAGGCGTTCATATCGCTTTCCTGCACTGGCACCTTTTGCTGTGTCGCACCGGGTAGTGCAGCTTGACTCTTGGCCAAGTCACCGCAACTCTGTTTTTGTATGTTTTTTTGGGACAAGAAGCGCTTTCGAAGACGGGCGCCACCCCGTTTGATATATTCGATACAGTAAATGCATTTACCATGCGAAAAACCATGTTTTGATCAAAGAATCAAAGGACAGACAGCTGCTGGTTGAGTGTGCCGTGGCTGCAAAACAGATTGTCGAACTGATGTGATTGATAAGGTCGGCTTTTGGTAGAGGTTCACCCGCTGAGGTTTGATTGAGAATTCAACAGAGGGCAGCATCTATTTGTGTGCTGGCTGCATATTCCCAAATGTGGAATCTGATTTGCTGAACAAAGCTGATGAATATGAGCCATTTTTGGAGACTTACTGTAGTAGTTATAATATATATATATATGTAATATGTATCTATAGATTCAATCAACTTGTGTACCTAACCACCTTCGAAGGCTCTTGATTTGAGTTTTGCCCAGGTCATCCTGGCATTTGGAGTGTGCGGATGGTTTCCAAAGTGAGCTTCTCACCGAAACGGACAGCCTCGAGACAGGCAAGATGTCGAGAGAGTGGTTAGTGTCATTCCAACGAGGCTTGGATGCTTTGATCAAAACGAGCTGGGTTTTCAATCACTTTCCTTTGTAAACCAGGGCGGCAACATGTGTGAACGCCGTTTGCAGGATGCGCTGGTCCTCTTCTAAAACAGCGAGGGTGCTTCTCGCTTGTCTTTCGTGTGGCTGCAGATGAGACCCTGGACTCGGTAGCTTGGCTGTAGACCCGACACAAGAACAAGACTGATGATGCAAGCATGCAAGAATGCATCAGTATGACATGATCCAGCTTGCATACCCGTTTACCTACAAGAGGCAACGGAGTCCATTTTTCCCATGGCACTTCGATATCGAACAAAGACGAGAGAAACGCACACCAAGACAAATAAGGAGAATGCGGAGGTTTCTCTCGACACAGTGGTTGCCTTGAGGTTGTGGTGCGTCAATGTGAAGTGATTGGGACGCTGTCCCTATGGTGGCAAGTGCCGGATGGCCCCAGAGGCTGCATGGAAGGTCACCAAATCCAAGTGAAGCCCATTCAGGCAGGGCTTGGCAGATCTGGTGAGAATGATGGTGTCAGCATGCTTAAAGCTTCTGGGTTACTCGTGACTAGTGCGTGTAAGACTCTGGACATCCAGGTTTCAATCAACTTCAGTGTCACTTGTCCCTACGTGATTCCCCTGTCAGGTGCCCAAACTGGACCTGCAAGTGGTGGAATGCCCCAAAAAAGTGCAGGTAGAGGCAGGGTCTAAAGAGTAGGCTGAATCCGAAATTTCAGCTGATTTTTCACATGTTTTACATCTAAATACAGTAGATGACCCAACATACCCAACCCTGGTGGAGGTACCTTTCCAACTGGAGCTGCAGGTGGGCGAAGGGTTGGTTTTGTGCGACTGCATTCTTGTGTCTGGATTCAACCGTTGAGGTGATGAACCGAACGGAGGATGTCTTGGAGCCAAAGGTGAGGGTCGGATGTCTTCATTTGGTCATCTCAAACCTTGCATGGAAGACATGGATTATGCATTCAGTGTGAGCACCTGGAACCTAGGGTTTGTGGTGTGGTGTCAGGTGAGCTTCGACCTCCGGTTGATGGGTGCCGTGAAAATCCAAGGGCCCTGCCAAAGACTTCTACGGATAGAGCCTGGAGAGAGGAGCGAGATTGTCGGATTTTTGGAAAGAGTGAGTGAGGTCTCACAAACCGCGAAAGGCAATTTGGGATGGCTAAGAAAGTCGGGGTTCGTTCGCACAGAAGGGTTGCCAAACATCTCCAAACTAGGTAATTGGACAGAAGCTGACAGGGAAGGATAGGGCATAGGGCATAGGCAGGTCAATCTGACAAGACATAAATGTCTAAGAGGAAGCCAGTTGGAAGGCCATCACTTCTTGGACGTATCAGGCAGCGCCTTCCCATTGAACTCGTTGTAACAGTGCCTGGGCTCCATGGTCTACAAGGCATTTCCATTGCCTGCGACGACCAGGCCTAAGGGCTTCAAACACAGATGAAATAAAGCCAAGCCAAAAGGCATTACATAAGTAGTTCGCTACACCCCGAGGTTCAAAGTACATCTTCTAGTTCAAGACTACAAAACCTTTTCAGTATTTGGCTTCTTTACAAAAGGCAGAGGAAGCCTGTGGGTATGAAAGGACAAGTTTCTTCCAGCCACTTAGGCTTGACACGTCTTAACACGTCTTGCTTAGTCCGTTTCACATGGAAACCAAGAATTCAGCTGCTCTGCAGGTTCCCAGGCAGGACTTTGGAGTTCTTTGTGACTTGCTCGCCTTCTGAGGGTGGAAAAAGGAGTTGTTGCTTAGCCCGTGCAGGATTTCTTTCCAGAGTCCTTGCGCAACCTCGTTACCTGCTTTCCCTCGTTCGTTTGATGCCGATGCCGATGCGCCAGGCTTTGGAGAACACAACAGACATTCCAGCCTCCTTTGGTGTGAATGCCGCACCACCTTTCCGCCCTGCACCCGGCTAATTGCACGTGCATGAGAATGAACGAAAGCTTCTATCACCCCGATGACCGCCACACATGTGCCTTTTCATTGAATCCCGCCCAAGTGGTTCAGGGGGACAGAGTAATTATGGAAGTGCTACTCATCAGAGTAATTATGTGTACCAGTTGCATCATCCACGCATCCGGACCCGATATCCTGCGGCCTTTGGAGTGATGGTTTCGTGGCCCAATGGCCGCCGAAAGAAGGAACGAGACAAGTTGTTGTTCTGCGTTTCAAAGAGTTGAGCGGGGAGAACTGAGACGATGTTCCTAGTAGCGATGCCCTTTGCTCCTAGTAGCTTCTTGTTCCTAGTAGTAAGGCCAGGAGCCCCTAGTAGCGTCCTTGCTTCTAGTAGCGATGCCAGAAGCCCCTAGTAGCGTCCTTGCTCCTACTACAACAACTTGAGAAGTGAGATGTAAAGTCACCATGTTTCTTGTGGTGCAAAAGATCATTTGGAAGCTATTTAAAGCTCAAGCATCAGGAACCTGTGAGGGTGCACTGCACAACTGCATTTTGGCGATGACGTTGAAGCAGCTTTCTCCTGCATTTTTTTGTTAACGCTCAGCAAAACTTCTTCCTGTTTCTCCCGAAGCCATGGCCTTGACGCAAGCATTTGTGCTTCCATCTGTTCCGCTGGTGCAGGGTGGCCGAGTTCTCTTGTTGTCTTGCCTCTCTTACGATGACGATGGAGTGGTGCTCTGGTGCTGAAATCCGAGGCTTTCTCCGACTTCCCGGCCTGTCCAACACTCCGTTCAGGTGGAGACACAGGGGGAGAGAGAGAGAGAGAGGGGCAGAGGGGCAGAGGGCTGAGGGTACAGCAAGAGAGTAGGGACAGAGCGTTGCAGTGTCAGGATAGGCGATCGGAGCCGCCGCTTGGCAGAACCCAACCTTGAAGCAGTCTCCAAAGAATTCGTGCTGAGACATCAAAACATATTTGACCTTACATAGAACTCAAAGGCAGCTACTGTTCAAGTAAGATTTTCCACAGTGAAGCCGAAGCTCCTCGACTCAGCCATCGCTTGCGCATGATGCTCTTTGCAATGGGCCAAGCCCGAGGTTTGGAAGCCTCTGCAAGATTGCTTTGAGTGCTGCTGTGGCACAACGTATTTTGACCAAGGCCTTTGTCCCAGTCAACATACATTGAGAAGCTTTGTGTGAAGCAGCTTCCAAGTGGCCAGAACAGAACTGATGATTTGCATGCGTAGTGATGAGAGCGAAGGGAGTCCCTGATCAATGAGTGACACATGATTCGCCTCAGTAAAAACCGACCACCCATCACCTGACCGCTTTGGTGTCTGGCTCAGTCGGCTCGACGTGCACAACAACCCAAAGATGCGAAAGAGCATCGGCTCACGTCCAGAGCTGAGACTTACCCTTTTTTTGACGATGAGAGCCACTTGTGTCAAGTCTAAGGAAAGTGTGACTAGTACTGTAAGTGGAAGTGACACCCATTCCCTTAGGCGAGCCTAGCGAGCAGAGATAGTAATAGGGCAACTTCTTTGTTCTCGCAGTGGTATTGGGGACTGGCGCTATTTCTAAGAATCCGAGCTTTGTTTTGAGAAGCCAGACCTAAGTCCCTGTGAAGGACCACGTGGACTACGTATGTTTGATGCATATAATTACAAAAAGATTCAACTCAGGACAAGGAAAACGTCTGATCCACAGAACATTACCATGCTGGACATGGGCACTGCATACACAGCCATGGCCCCAGCGAGTTCAGTCTTGAATCTTACACCAGAAAAAAGGCGGATTTGCTAGCACACTTTAATCCCGTTACGACCCAGAGTTTGCGCCTAGATCTGCACGTGAATCACGCTCATGTTCCTGTCCTGACAATCTCTGCCATCATATTTGTCACTTGAGTCATTCAGGAGTCACTGCAATCTTTGAGTGCAAGCCTCGAAGTTAGACTTGTGCAGTTTTGCCTTTTCTTAATTGGGTTCCAGCGCCATGCCGGACATCGCGAAATCCGACATCTCTCCGAACCTGGACCGTGACAAGATGTTCAATGAGCTTTGGTGGTTGAACTATTGCTTCTGCGAAGGGGTTGGCATTGGCGCGGTTGGGAATCCATTCTTTGGAGGAGAGGCAGTGAATATTTGCTTGCACTCCAAGTGCCCCTCGGCAAAGCCACAAGCTTAGACTTAGTATCTCTTAGAGTCCTAGACGATTCAAGCTTGGTTCTCGTTAAGACTTGACCGGAGTTTTTGACAGACCACCTTTACGTTGGGTTTGGCATCGTTATTTGTTTGAGCGAGGTGAGATGACCGACATTGGGGATCCCTTCTGCTCCAACATCCGTGTTTGCCTATGCCTCACCGATCAATGCGCTCTTCCACCTGCGCCTGGCTCCCCGATCTGTGTCTGCTTCAACAAAAAGCTCGCTGGCGATGATGGCTGGAGTGGACAGCAGCTCTTCGATTGGAGCACGAACTTTGGTGACACCTTCTGGCTCTACTACATCTTCTGCATGGGACTTGGCTTCTCTGCTCCTCAAGCCAATGGCCGTCCTTTCTTTGCTGTGCAGACGAAGGAGCTGTGCATCAAGGGCGGAACCAAGTTGGCTATGCCCATGGAGGGCGGAAAGCTGTGCTCCGCTGTGAGCACTCGTCTTTGCTTCTGGGATCAATGCGCTATGCCGCCAGCTGAGGGGGCTCCAATGTTTGTGTGCTTCAACTTGCTGAACCCCAAGTCAGGGGCGAAGCCTTTGGCATATGGATCTTAGATTGCAGGCAAGAGCCAATTCCTTTTTTGAACTGCCTCTGGTCCACGGTGATTTGTCACCCAGACCAGGCACTTACACTAACTCTGTGGCACTACTCCGCTTCTTTCGGGGCTTGATTTGGGTCGGCCCCCAAAGAGCTACCGGTGTTCCTTGAAAACGGAGCTTGGACAGTGACACTCGCATGGATGAAGAAGTGGATGTGGTGTGTCAAAAGAACTTGGGAAAGCACTTGGTGGTATTCTGGGTCCCCTTAGATTGAAGCAACGCCAATGGAAGCCATGTACCTGTGTCACATCCCCAACTGTTTGCACAGGTGAAGGAGGACTTGAGCAAGCCAAGACTTACTGTGGCTAAATCGCAGCAGGACGATTTTGGTTTGAAGGGAGGTTACACAGGTTGATTGGAGGGACGCACAGCCAAGTTGTCAGCAAATTATTTTTGATCTTGACTAACAGCCATCCAGACTCCAGACAAGTGACCTGGAGCCTGATGTTGCTTTGTGACGCAAAGTATGCGTTGCATTGCGGAAAGGACAAAGTCACTGTCCGAAAAGGCAAAGACACCAAGGCGAAGGACCCCAAGGAACTCATCAGCGAGGTGTGACTCTGAAACGAACCGTCGAGACAACGCATTCCGAGACATAGAAGTCAGTCTTTTCCTGTATTTCCGGTATGAGACATTGCGAAGTGCAAGACTGAAAAGGCAAAGAAACGATCAAACAAATGTAAAGACCTGCTTCCACTTGCAATCCAAGACCAGCTTCTTTCTTGTCAAGTCGATCTCAGTTTCAATGATGGTGACAGAAGGCTGACAGCTGAATTTCATCGGAATCTTCACAGCACAGGTGGCCGCTGAGTCGCCCGACATGGATGAGGCATGTGCAGAAACAGTCGAGATGTGTAGAAGAAGTGTGGGAAACACTCGTGGACGATGTTCATTGGCCCTATTTTGTTTATTTCGTTCTGTACAACCAACACGTGCATTTGATGGCAGGACTTTTTGAAGGAACTGCTGGAGATGACAGCGATTGAACGAGCAGATCTCATAGCGCCTGGGTTGGTTTACAGTAGACATTTTTCCAATCTCAGCCACACCGCGGGACAACATCATACATATTTGTTGGCTGAGGAAGAATTGACACGGAAGGCTTTCGTTCTCATGGAGGCAGCTTCGTCTCCCTAGGACAATGTCCATGGAGCATCATGGAGCTTTGGTAGATGCCAATTCTTTGCCCTTGTTTTTTTTCTTTGTTCCATTTTATAAGACCTTTAGACCTTTTTTGAAAGGACCTTTCTTCTTTAGGCCTTCGTTTCCTCGTTTCCTTAGACCTTGAGGCATCATGGAGCATCATGGAGCTTGAAGTTCCGTCCTTTTGCGGATTTATAAAAGCACCAAGCCCCGAAGCACCGTCTCCTTTTTGCTTTTGTGTTCCCGGGCAGGCCGGTGAGATCCCTGAAGCCAAGCAACACTTGGAGCGAGCGAGCCGAATTGCTGCTGCCTTCGAACGTCTCAATCAGGAGACCTTCGAACACCCACTAGATCTGATTTGTAGTTATTATATATATAGATATAGTGTGTCTAAAAAGCCCATGGGCACTGTCATTTTTTTAGTTAAATCACGCAGGATCATGCAGAAAGATCGGCTAGAACTGTGCCAACACTTTGGGTGTGGTTGTAACCAAGTCTCCCATTGACATATCAAAAAAGCCTTCGCGCTGCAGGAGGTCGAAATCATCCGGGAAAAGCGCTCTGCGGGCGGAAGAGTGGACGAGACACAGGCGTGAAGCCGAGCAAGGTAACGAGTCGATGGAGTTTTTTGAGTCTTGTTAGTGGCTCCATGACTCGCTGCCTGCTGAAGTTTCACTGCTGCGGCAAAGAAACCCGGAGCCCACAAAGCCCAGTTGTGTTTTCATGCTTTCTCTTTTTTTTTTGCCCAACGTTGCTGTTGAAATGACAGGTTGTATTGGAGTTGCGGGAGGAGTTGGACAGTGTCATGAACTAAGAACCCTCTTTGGCCATGGCTTGAGATCAAAGCTTGGACAGGGATTGTTCAGACTGCCATAGCATACGCAATACAAACCTAGCCAGGGCAGGCAATAGACCCGATGAATTCATACAACTTCCTCACATAATATGGTTATCCTTTTTCACTAGTCCAGGGCTTGGTTTGAGGGCCTCGTTATGTGCACCCAGGAAGACTTTGCCAAGATCTTTGGGCCACAAGCGAGGTTTGCCCGATTTATCGGTCAATTGTGACAATGAAGGGCCGGCGTTCGTGGTACGATGTGGGTGCATGTCAAAGATGTGGGGGGAGATGTGGGGGCTTTATATGCTTCACATTGCTTCAGCTTTATATGCTTTATATGGGAGTTGATCGAAAACCCCGTGTAAGGAGTTTTATATAAAACAGCCTTTCAGATGTTGTTAGAACCATCCGCGAAAGATTCGCGATGAGGTTCGCGAAAGTATCTTTTTTTTTCCGGGAAAGATTTATCGAAGGTCATCGCTTTCATTGTTTTCCTTTCTATCGGACTGACAAAGAATAGAAACGCAAGGCAATCCTCCGGCAGAGCCAGTGGGCGGAAGTGTCCCCATATGTCACAGACTAACGAACTGAAGCCTCAACATTTCCGTGCCCAGCCCTGGCAGTGCGTAAAGGATTCTCCGATTCCTGTCCCCACTGTCACAGACTAGCAATCTGGGTAGGCACAGCCCTGACAGTGAGGCAACGACCTGCAGCTGCTCTGACGGGCTGTGCAGATGTTTGCAAATGTTACGGCTTCCCGGGGAAAGCACGAGTGAAAGTTTGCGAAAGATCCGCGAAAGTTTCGCGAATGTGCCGCTAAAGTCTAGGTTCCCAGCTTGAGGCCCCCCAACATTCCCCAAGCTGCATCACCCTGTGTTGGTAGCTGGCACGAGGATTGGGTTGAGTTGCGCCGGACTCCTGAGTAGCTGTGGAAACGTTCAACCATCTACTGCAGGGGTCATGCCGCAAGATGTCTCTCCCTATTTTGTGGTGACATGTTCCGGCTCATGTTAGCTAGACACGGTTGTAGGACCATGCTTCACGATGAGGCCGCGAAAGATCCGCGAAAGATATCTTTTTTCCGCGATGAATGGCCATTCCAGGATGAAAGAATATTGATCAACCACCATATGTTTCACTGAAAATGTGTAAAGAGATGCCCAAGAAGGGTCACTGGACGTTCCCAAGGTTCCTTTTCTCACTTTGCTTCTGTACCCACAATGTCAAGGTTCACGGCCGAGAGTTCCAGAGGGCGCACAAAGACTCTTGCCCTGTCGTGCCGGTTGAAGCATGCCGACCAAATCGTATGTGTCATTAAGAGCCATACAGTCGATCATGAACACTAGGAATCACGTGCAGTCCTTTAAAACCTCTACCCGTGCCTGATTGGACATGCTTCACACTTGAACAGTGAGATCAGCCGTACTGCGTGTTTGGAGTAGCAGCTTGCGGTCATGAAGGGCATTCTTGAATTCGAGTCCCTTTCATGATCATTTTAGGATATCTCATGCTGATTTTTTTGTTGTCACGATTGTTGCGGAAGAATGCGTAAAGAAGAGTCGTTGTTTTGCATTCCTGCTTCGCACCGCGAGCTGATGTTCCGGGTTCTGAAAGCAGTGCGCTTGTGGCAGCATTCTGCACCTCTAGCGAACAACGTGTAGCAACTTGTGAGATGAATCCGGTCTTCGGAAGACATGCTGTGCAGTGTTACCGGTGGAATGGATTTGCCTTAGCTTTCTCTTGTGGTGAGACAAACCATCATCAATTTGATGGTTACTCAGGTCGGCGATCGAAAAATTCAGAGTGTACCCTGCTTCATTTTTCGTCACTTGCGTTTTACCCACTTGACTTCAGAGTAGCCCTAGCCTGCCAACCTTTCGCCCAAATCAGTCTTGGCTCAATGGACACAATGACTTCTGTAAATCCCACAGCAACACTCCCAAGCAACTGCTGTGACACAATGATCTAAAGCTTGAGCCATGGGGTAGTGACATGACGGAGCCGTGAGGAGATGCCGGCATTTTCAAAGCGCTTGGAGTTTGAGGCGAGGAATCAATTTTTTGTTTTTAAGGCTTGGAGATGCCAATTCAGGAAGAGCAAGATTTGCACATGCCCTGTGCACAACATGTTGCACATGAGAGAATCTTGGATTCATCTCATGCATGTGACTTCTTGCCCATCCAGAACCGCAGGTGACGGTCACTGTGGCGGGGCCGGTGGGCCTGGTCCTATCACCTGGAAGGCCCATGACGGTCGAGTCCGTTCATGGAGAGGCGCCATTGGTAATCCACAGTGCCTGGGGCCAAGGAAAAGGAAAGAAAAGCAGATAGAAGAGAGATCTGAAGGCCTAAAGAGAAGAAGAGATTCAAGATATCCCCATGAAGACTTGCATCACCTGAGGTACAAGTTGGTAGTGTTCTCTTGTCGGTGAATGGCATTAACGTGGACCCGCTTACTCGCGAGGCCACAGATCATAGAAGTGAGTGAAGTACAGCTGCAGATGTTGTGGGCTTCAAAGTTCTTCAGAGTTGTTCTCCTTCTTTCGCTTACAAAGCTCCTCTTGTAACTTAGCTCTTGACCCCCAGTGTATTTCTCGTCCAGCTTTTCCAATGCTTCATTTAGGAGTTGGTGGTTCTGCTTCGACGACGACCTCTGAAGCTTCGCTTCAGAAAACCTAGGCCTCCTTCAGAACTGTAGTAGTTTCAGGGTTCTTAGATGTTCTATGATGCTCTTAAGTATCCTTTTTGATCACCAAGAACTGCCTACCTTTTTGACCCCTTTTGGTCGTTGTTTGTACTGTGATGATCCAATGACATCCACTCAGAGCTTGTGCATGTGCCAGCTCTTCGGAAACCTTGGAGCCGGAACTGCCGCAGCCACCACAATGGACGCCACCACAATCCGACATCCGATTTGAGGCCTAATCGCTGTTAGGTCTGAGGCCATCGCTAGTAGGTCGGAGGCCATTGCTTTGAGGTTCTGTCGTTTTGCGAGATTTCGTGACTGTTTGTCTCGATCTCCCCGATCTCGCTGAATACGGGGCTTAGGTGGAGGTCACCGTGAATACGCGGGTGATCGGTCACCTTCTCAGCTCTGTCGGCTCTGTCAGCTTGGTGGAATTGGTTGCTGTTGCCTTGTCAGTTTGGATCGGTTGAACTCTGTTTCGTAGGCCTTGTGCCGGACAACTGGCCCCCGAATCCCGTCTTCGTAGCTGCAGTGGTTCCAGGAAGCCTTGCATTGACCTTGGATGTGATGCCGTCACTGGTCCCTTTCAATCATGTTTCCTTTGCACCAAAAGGCGATAGTGACGTGCTGATGTGATGACTTGTTTCTCCAAGAACCATTCAGGTCGAGGCTGAAGGTGTCAAAGCAGGAGACGAACTCTGCGCAGTGAATGGACGCTTGGTGCAGTCCTTCGAAGCAGATGACTTGGCCATCGAGCTGCGCAAGAGGCGAAAGGGGAAATTCATCTCGCCAACGGGCCACCGCGGGTTGAGCCTTTGACTGAACGATCGAAAGAACGCAATCAGCCTCCGATTCTGCAGACCTGGCTTTTTGACCTTCCGGAGAGCCTTGGTTCAACGTACGGACCTCAGCAAAAGAAAATGCAGTACAGTCAAGGGGAGCACGTGCATAGCTGAAGATGGATCATGGGGTGCAGGAGTACTGCAGGGTGGTGCAGGTAAGTTTGAATCCAACTCACACGGTTGATGGTTCGCTTACTAGGAGCAAAGGGCATCGCGGGCATCGCTACTAGGGGCAAGGACGCTAGTAGTACTAGCTCCTGGCATTACTACTAGGAGCAAGGACTTGTGCAAAACGAAATCCGGGCTCGCTGGTGCACCGCGGATTCCACCGCAGGATTTCGTATGCTCAGAGCCTGTGACAGGAAGAGCAAGCTCCGAAGGTACCACAGGAGGTTTTGGAGGAGGTTCCGGAGCAAGCTTCGAAGCAGGTTCTGCAGCAGGTTTTGGAGCAAGCTATGTTGAAAAGCTGTTATGTTGTCATCGTCCTGGCATAATTCATCATGCTGGCGTGTTGTTATGCTGACATTTTGTCATGCCGTGATGTCCGATATGTTCGTGCGCCTCAAGACGTCTAAGTAAATTTTTCCTGTCTGTTTCCTGGTGCAATCCACCATGCATGCAATTGGCCTCACCCAGCACCTCCCCTCGCATCCCTCCATCAGTTGGTAACAGAACACTCGTGTGGCTGAAGTAAAGCTGTTCTGTGGTGCCTGACAACCCTTTCAGCAGTTTGGAGCCCCATCGAGCTAAATCTTGTTTCTTAAAGAACACAGGCCATGCACAAGCCCGTGGTGCACATTTGGTTTGATTGGTCTCAGGCACAGAGCCGGGACCACTGGAGATCCTCGACCTCACCTTTGGTCCACAGCAGGTGCGCAGCACTGAGCATGATGCCCCACAAAAAGAGCGAAGATTTCAGAGATGTGGATAATGCGTTTTTGACACCCTTGAGCTTTTTTGGCAGGTCAAAACCCTTGAGATGCTCCTTCGTAAAAACAATATCATTCTTCAATTCTCTTTTCTCCATCAACCTCCCTCTGCCACAATTGCCAATACTACCGTGATCTACCATTTCTTCCCTCCAATCGGGCTCCTACAATGTCCGGAACCCGAACACATTCAACAAAGCTCACAGTTCGGGGCGATGATTGTTTGGATGTGAACGAAGTCTGATTGGAGCCCTCTTGGTAGGAACAAGAAGCTACTAGTAGCTCCTGGCATCGCTACTAGGAACCAGGGCATCGCTACTAGGAGCAAGGACGCTACTAGGACCTGTGGTGTTTTTTCTTCTCTTTGACCAGGGCATGCTAGGCCTCGCGCCAGAGACGTGGCCACCAGGGCCCGTGCTCTTGGGCGATGTGGCGTGGAAACCAAGTGTCCGTTAAGCAGGCAGTTGCAGTATCAGTTCATGCTATTGTCCTTTTATTTACTGTAGATTATTTAGCCTGTTGAGGATCTAGACAAGATAAGCCCTGCTAACAAGAGAAAGAAGCAACATGGAGTCAACATGAATTCAATCTTCTTGTTGGACTAGGGGCCAAGTAGTAAGAGGCAATCTTGTCGATTTAGAACTAGACAGGCTCGATCCAAGCACCAGAGGTTCCGGGCAGCGCAGCCGCCCTAGGGGGTGCTAGAGCGGCTGGCGGCCCAGAGATGGACCTGTGGGTTTGTTTTCAAGTTCCTCCAACAGGGATCCGAAACTGTAAAATAGAGTGGAGGGGAAGTAGATGCACACCAGTGGTTGGGGCTCCACTGATTGAGCTGTAAGAAATCAGTGTAGGACTTCAATGTGTACTCAAGCTGCAATAGTGGGTGGAGCCTTGAATCTCACTACCTACTGAGGGTGACGTGGTGCTGCTAGTCAATGATCTCCAGGTGCCAAACTAAGAGCGATGGCCTGCCCAATATTCATGATATTTTGGTGTCTATGCCAACATCCGGATGTCCTTTGTGGACACCAATCCGAGTGTTTCAGCTGCAAGGCGGCTTTGCTGAAATCGGAAGAGCTGTCAGCCTTGCTCAGACAGCGTCCGCTCAAAATTCGGCTCATTCCTTGGAGAGACCGTGCGGGCACATTCCATTGAGCATTTACAGGCAGAATGCAACTAGAAGCTACTAGGTGGAGGCCATCGCCATTAGTTTGGAGGCCATCGCTACTAGTAAAAATAAAGCTTTCTAGTATGTCTTTGAAGCTTCCTTGGGAAGACAGATACTGCACAGTTCATTTCATTACGGGTAGTTTCGGCCAGTCTATGTTGGTGTTCTTCTGTGTTCCTCCACTTCGAGGTTCCTCCGTGGTGCTGGAGCCGCAGCCACGGTTAATGAGCTGTTGCTGCAGGCACAATGCATGCCATTGCTGATAACATGAAAGGGTATTGGTCAATATGCTAAAGTATGTTTTACAAGTGCAAGCATGACTTTGTACAATATTCCGGAAAAATGAGCTACAGTAACTCAAGAGTACATGTATGCTTTCCAAGAAGATCAACATCAGGTGCAGATACTGAGAACAAACTTTGGAAATCCTTTTCTTTCTTCAATTCAAGCTTTTCAGGCGCTCACGGGCCCAGAAGAGCTGTGGCATGAGGACAAACGCAAGTGCTGATGGTACTGACAAACGCGTGTCGCAACGAACAGGTTTCGTGTGTGGAGGACAGGACATTTGCCTATCCAGCACCACGACCTCCCTCTCCATCAGCACTGCCAGCTTGTCCTTTGCGAGATTCTTGTTGAAATTAAAGCCTTCGCCAAGGATAGTCGGATAGTCCACTTCATTGTGTGAAACCAGCATTTTCGGATACTACTAGGAGCAAGAAGCTACTAGTAGGCGGGTGGAATGCCGGGCAATCTGCCAGGGCGAGATGACGCGGATCCAGTTGGATCACCAGGTGCCGGATGAAAACCGAACGACAAAGAGATGAACGA